TGGTTGTTCCTTTATGTGCGTGTTACGCTTGTTGTACTGTGAGGTTATCAACAGGTAGATGATTGACTTATCTATACACGAATGTGACACTCTTGTTGTACGATGGGAGGAGGAGGAGGAGTGATTTGGCACTGTTGGTGGTTGTTGGGGTGGAGGCTTGTGGTGGGAGAGCATCCAAGGTGGAGATAAGACACTATCTCAGTACTGTATCAGGAGGCGGCCTGCTCCAGTACACTGCCACACCTCCCACCTGCCTCACCTTCACCTGCTGCTGCTGCTCTGGACCTCATCTCCTGCCTCACCTCAGTACCCAACAGTGATCTTTGTCGTCTCACCTTTGTCTGTTTACGTTAAGACAGACTCTCTGTCTCCAGTGTCGTTAGGACATCTGTGTACCATCAGGGTCTATGTGTACCATTATGTCATCTGTGTACCATCAGAGTCTATGTGTACCATTATATCATCTGTGTACCATCAGAGTCTATGTGTACCATTATGTCATCTGTGTACCGTCAGGGGCTATGTGTACCATTATGTCATCTGTGTACCATCAGGGTCTATGTGTACCATTATGTCATCTGTGAACCATCAGAGTCTATGTGTACCATTATATCATCTGTGTACCATCAGAGTCTATGTGTACCATTATGTCATCTGTGTACCGTCAGGGTCTATGTGTACCATTATGTCATCTGTGTACCGTCAGAGTCTATGTGTACCATTATGTCATCTGTGTACCATCAGGGTCTATGTGTACCATTATGTCATCTGTGAACCATCAGAGTCTATGTGTACCATTATATCATCTGTGTACCATCAGAGTCTATGTGTACCATTATGTCATCTGTGTACCGTCAGGGTCTATGTGTACCATTATGTCATCTGTGTACCATCAGAGTCTATGTGTACCATTATGTCATCTGTGTACCATCAGGGTCTATGTGTACCATTATGTCATCTGTGTACCATCAGAGTCTATGTGTACCATTATGTCATCTGTGTACCATCAGAGTCTATGTGTACCATTATGTCATCTGTGTACCATCAGGGTCTATGTGTACCATTATGTCATCTGTGTACCATCAGAGTCTATGTGTACCATTATGTCATCTGTGTACCATTATGTCATCTGTGTACCATCAGGGTCTATGTGTACCATTATGTCATCTGTGTAACGTCAGGGCCTATGTGTACCATTATGTTATCTGTGTACCGTCAGACATGTGTGTACCACGAAGATATCTATATACCGTGAGGGGCATCCATGTATTATCAGAGCTAGTGTATACAATCAGCTTGGAACCATGTCCAACACACCCACTTACACACAGTACAGATAGGGAACCATGCCCAACACACCCGCTTACACACAGTACAGATAGTGAACCATGCCCAACACACCCACTTACACACAGTACAGATAGTGAACCATGCCCAACACACCCACTTACACACAGTACAGATAGTGAACCATGCCCAACACACCCACTTACACACAGTACAGATAGTGAACCATGCCCAACACACCCACTTACACACAGTCTGTTGATAGGTTTGGCGTGATATCAACCCCGAAGTCTTTTTCAGATAGTGAAGAATTTTTCAAGTACAGATAGTGAACCATGCCCAACACACCCACTTACACACAGTCTGTTGATAGGTCTGGCGTGATATCAACCCCCAAGTCTTTTTCCTTCTCTGACTCCTGAAGAATTTCCTCTCCCAGATGATACCTTGTATCTGGCCTCCTGCTCCCTACACCTATCTTCATTACATTACATTTGGTTGGGTTAAACTCTAACAACCATTTGTTCGACCATTCCCTCAAGACCTAGACAAGCTGAAGGAATGGTCGAACAGATGGTTGTTAGAGTTTAACCCAACCAAATGTAATGTAATGAAGATAGGTGTAGGGAGCAGGAGGCCAGATACAAGGTATCATCTGGGAGAGGAAATTCTTCAGGAGTCAGAGAAGGAAAAAGACTTGGGGGTTGATATCACGCCAGACCTGTCTCCTGCAGCACATATCAAGCGGATAACATCAGCGGCATATGCCAGGCTGGCCAACATACGAACGGCATTCAGAAACTTGTGTAAAGAATCATTCAGAACTTTGTATACCACATATGTCAGGCCAATCCTGGAGTATGCAGCCCCAGCATGGAGTCCATATCTAGTCAAGGATAAGACTAAACTGGAAAAGGTTCAAAGGTTTGCCACCAGACTAGTACCCGAGCTGAGAGGTATGAGCTACGAGGAGAGACTACGGGAATTAAACCTCACTTCGCTGGAAGACAGAAGAGTTAGGGGGGACATGATCACCACATTCAAGATTCTGAAGGGGATTGATAGGGTAGATAAAGACAGTCTATTTAACACAAGGGGAACACGCACAAGGGGACACAGGTGGAAACTGAGTGCCCAAATGAGCCACAGAGATATTAGAAAGAACTTTTTTAGTGTCAGAGTGGTTGACAAATGGAATGCATTAGGAAGTGATGTGGTGGAGGCTGACTCCATACACAGTTTCAAGTGTAGATATGACAGAGCCCGATAGGCTCAGGAATCTGTACACCTGTTGATTGACGGTTGAGAGGCGGGACCAAAGAGCCAGAGCTCAACCCCCGCAAACACAACTAGGTGAGTACAACTAGGTGAGTACAGTACAGATAGTGAGCCATGCCCAACACACCCACTTACACACAGTACAGATAGGGAACCATGCCCAACACACCCACTTACACACAGTACAGATAGGGAACCATGCCCAACACACCCACTTACACACAGTACAGATAGTGAACCATGCCCAACACACCCACTTACACACAGTACAGATAGGGAACCATGCCCAACACACCCACTTACACACAGTACAGATAGGGAACCATGCCCAACACACCCACTTACACACAGTACAGATAGGGAACCACTTGATGCTTCTCACACTCTAATAAACTGCATATAAAGTTAGTCAATGAAAAGATGAGACAATAAACGCCGGGACCATTTCTACCTCCGCCAGAGCCCAACATGTCGAAGAAAGGTAAAGTCACCAGAAGTGGGCCCCCTTTCCACTACCTGCTGCCCTTCCTGGCGTCCGTGGCGGCGTGCATGGTGGTGTACGTGCCCATGGAGGAGCCGTCCGTGGCGGGGCTGGTGCTCAAGTGCCTGCCAATAGTGTGCTTGATGGGGTTCCTCGCAGTGGTAGAGAAGGTAGAGGGGGAGGCGGCCATCAACTTGTTGGCCCTCTTCTTCTCCGTGCTGGGCGACGCTTGTCTGGTGAGTACAGACCTATGTGCTCCCGCCCCAACACTTGCCCGGGTAACACCTGGTGCTTCATGTCCTCCTTCCTGCTGACCAACACAACGCTTTGTGGTCAAGACTCCAAGTTGTTGTCATCAACTTACAGCCTTTATGGTGAATTTTTGTGTTTGTGGTAAATTTCCAGTCATTATGGTGAATATATCCAGTCTTTGTGGTGAATAGGGAGCCGGTCGGCCGAGCGGACAGCACGCGGGACTTGTGATCCTGTGGTCCTGGGTTCGATCCCAGGCGCCGGCGAGAAACAATGGGCAGAGTTTCTTTCACCCTATGCCCCTGTTACCTAGCAGTAAAATAGGTACCTGGGTGTTAGTCAGCTGTCACGGGCTGCTTCCTGGGGGTGGAGGCCTGGTCGAGGACCGGGCCGCGGGGACACTAAAAAGCCCCGAAATCATCTCAAGATAACCTCAAGAATATCCAGTCACTGTGGTGAATATTTAGTCTTTGTGGTAAATATTGTCTTCTTGAAGGCGTTTCCGGTCTTTTGGTAAGTGAAGATCAACAAAACTTTCCCTGCCTCCTGCAGGTATGGATGGAGGAGCTGCTGGTGTACGGAGTGGCCATGTTTGGGGTGGCCCAGGTGGCGTACGTGTTCGCCATGGGGTTCGAACGGGTGAGCTGGGTGTCTGGGGTTGGGATCCACGTGTCCCTGCTGCTGGTGGTGACGTCGCTGCTCTCAGGCATCCCCAGCCCTGCTCTCAAGGTCGTGGTCACCCTCTACTCCCTGCTCCTCACCACCATGATCTGGCGAGCCTTTGACCGGTGAGCACTCTCAGTCCCGGCTGTGGTGGTGGTGAGGCTAATTCCCTCGTGGTAAGTGAAGTTAATTCCCTCAGGTATCGTGGAAAGTGAGGCTAATTCCCTCAGGTATCGTGGTAAGTGAGGCTAATTCCCTCAGGTATCGTGGTAAGCGAGACTAATTCTCACAGGTATCCCAGCCCCTTAGTCTATCCTCATCTGTGACTATGTTGTGTTCCTTCCAGAAGTTCTATGATGTTCACGAGGATATTGAACAGCTGTCAGAAGGCTTGAACCCCAGAATTAGAGTTACATCTCTTGCCTTCACCCCAGGCGACTGTTATAGCTTTCATGCTGTTTGTCTTACGATAATTGTATTGAAATTAATAATATCTAGCTAGTAATGTGTGTGTGGTGGGTCCTGCAGAGCCCGGCTGCGGAGGGACCTGCCTGTAGAGCGACGGATGTGTTCCCTGGCGGGCGCTGTCGTCTTCTGCATGTCTGATGTGGCCATCGTGGTGGCGCAGCTGGGGCGTCTCCTGCCCCCAGCTCTAGCTCTGGGCCTCATCCTCGCCACCTACTACGCTGCCCAGCTCCTCCTCACGCTGGGAGCCGCTGAGAATTTCTGGGCCGGCAGTGTCTCCGTCAAGGCCAGTGGGTCCTCGGCCAAGGCTGTGAGGACCACTGGCAACACTGATAGACCAACCGTCAAGGCCGGGAGAGCTTCAGTCAAGACTGGCAAGTCTTCTGCCAAAGTTGCCAACTCCTCTCTCAGGAATGACAAGGTCGCCTCCAGAAAGGCAAAATAAGTCTCCTGCAGTTGAGGAAAACAGTTGAAGAGCTTTACTTGAAGACTCGAGTCTCTCTTGTGCGAACACACAAATATATTTTGTAATCACAATTTTTGTTACATAGAGTGTTCAGTAGAAGGAAACAAACACACACTGCAGGCGACACGTAGAGGTGTGGACAGGATTGACTCGAACCCGGGACAGCCAGGAGCAACAATGCAACTGGTGTACACGGTACTTTAACCACTCGACCATCCGTGACCGTTCAAAAGACAATATTAGCCGAGGCTATTTCACCGTCCCGATGTAACAGTGCAAGTATTTTGCACTCTTTCATGTATAATTGTGAGTTGTAATTGTGGGTGTGCGCGCGCACGTGTGTTGGTGAGGAGCGAGATGGTACGAGGGAGGTGTTGACTAGCTTCGATCTGCTGACATGGTAGTACTTGTGTTGGTAAGGGCTAGCTTGGCCTGTCCCAGTCCTTATTAGGGCATGAGGAAGACACAGCTTCCCCACGTTGGGGGTGGCTGGTAGATGCAGTTAAGAGACCAGCGGGCATAGAGGGAACGTGACCAGCCAGCTTTCCCCAGATTTTCACCCTGGTGGGTGCCAGTCACCATCAGGGTGCATCCGTCTGAGTTGAGAAGGTGAGAGTTCAGTTATGCATTGTCTTAAACCAGAAGTGTGTTTCTTAGTGGTGACGAGTTAGTGGAGTCTGAACCATTTAGCCATGTATGGTGTGGGCGTGTATGGAGTGGCTGATCCCCCCTTTTTAATTTGGCCAATATTGTGTTAAATAATAGAATGTCAAAATGTTAAATAGTAAGAACTATGAAAATTGAAATAATTTGAAATAATTTGAAATAATTTGATTCAATAAATGTCTATGTGTAGAATAACAAGCTTGACTTTTGTTCAGTCCTCTTTTTTGAATCAATGTCCCCTCAAGTAAGAGTTAAGCCTAGAAATAACTAGATGGAAAACTTGAGTAGAGATAAAGGGAGGAAACGAGAGTGAGGCGCGGGAGACCAGTGAGGGAGTGAGTGCCGGCAGTGAGGCGCGCGCCATCTAAGCCTTCCCACACTCAGGTTGTGGGGTCCTCGGATATTCTTAAGCAGTGTCCTGTCCATTGCTTAAGGGGAATTAAGATTTAGTTTCAAGGACAGGTGGTGGCAGCTTATATTAGAACATGTAAAGTAAAAATTAACATCAATACATCTTAAATAGAATAACACTCTCCCTACCCCTCAACTCTCCCTCTTCCTACATCACTCTACTCCCTCTCCTTCTCTCCCTTTTGCCTCCCTTCTTCCCGTTCGCTCCCCGTTTTCTATTCCCGCTCGCCTCTACCTCAGTTCCTGCCTCAACCTCCCCCATGTTCTATCCACCTATCCTTCATCCCTCTTTCCTCCTCCCCTCCTTCTACCTTTACTTTGCTTTACTTGACTTTTACTACCCTATTCCCCCCCCCCCCCCGTTACACCGATGGCACTTGGTGGTAATCTTGGGCATAGTTATTTCATCAAATCACTTAATTTAGTGGGGCCACGTGAGCAACACAATTGCGAACAAGCTTGAATGTTGTCGGGACGGTGAAACAGCCTCGGCTAAAATTGTCTTTTGTATGGTCACGGATGGTCGAGTGGTTAAAGTACCATGTACACCAGTTGCATTGTTGCTCCTGGCTGTCCCGGGTTCCAGTCACTTCTGGGGTGTGTAGTTTTCACTTATTTATATATATATATATATATATATATATATATATATATATATATATATATATATATATATAATATGGCCGTACTTGATAGTAAGAAAGTTACCGTAATCATTAATGTGGACATTATCAGAGATTTACGTAACTTGTCCTCAGCAGTTATCACACAAGAGTTGGGGGGACTGATAGCACTGAGTGGGGGGGGGGGTTACCTGGTTGATTCTTGAGGTTATCTTGAGGTGGGTTGCACCTATCCACGTGTGTACTCACGTATGTGTGTTTCCAGGGTCGAGCTTTAGCTCTATTACCACACCTTTACAGCCGCCGATTGTCTAACGCAAAGGATCTTAAACCCATTTTTATTTCATATAAACGTTTGGAATTATAAATTGTAATTTTGGATTTGTTATTTGTCGGCTCTACAACCTGATCCTTTAGTTAATTACTCATTACTCTTCGCTAGAAGAACATTTCCTCAGGTTTTGTTGCTAATTTGTTTCTTAAGTTTCCATCCATTGCCCCCCCCCCCCTTTGTTTCTTTGGAATTCATTGTGAACATCTCTTTTGTGTGTGTGTGTGTGTGTGTGTGTGTGTGTGTGTGTGTGTGTGTGTGTGTGTGTGTGTGTGTGTGTGTGAGGTTGGTGGTAGTGGTGACGTCATGACCACTACCGGTACAACTAGCCAGGCTCAGGAACCAGCACACAGCTGTTATGACCACAACAACCACTCCCCCCCCCCCCCGAGTGGTGACCAGGTACAGCCTCCACCACTGCGCCACCACGTGCCCGCTGCTCCCTATAGTTACATAACCTACTTTCTCAACAGGAGGGGGAGGGAAATATCAGGACAAACGTTAAGCCATTACGACTATATAGCACTGGGAAGGGGTCAGGATTTGGGATGGGACGCGGGAAAGGAATGGTGCCCAACCATTTGAACGGTCGGGGACTGAACGCCGACCTGCATGAAGCAAGACCGGATTACAAGAGACTAGAGAACTGTGAGGCCTTACAGTGACCTCCTGACCCGTGGGTGAGACTGTGGTCACCCATCCAGCGCTGGCATCCATCACCATCCACTATCCATAACCATCCAGTTCCATCCATCCCTGTCAACTACTACTACACAGTACATCCACCTGCAACATCCGGGCAGCTGGTGATGGATGAGGCCAGCCGTCGCTGTGTCCAGTATGTCATCCATCTCTGCCTTCTTAAACTTCCATCTCAGAACTTTGGTGAAAAATGGAATACTGAAATTTTCTTTTATTAAAATCTTAAACTTTTCTTGATTCATTTTTGTAGACGTTATCTTTCCGTGAACGGTGGATGGCAGCTGGAGTCACGGTGGATGGCAGCTGGAGTATAAGTAACTACCTAACAGAAAGGAGCCAAAGAGTTACGGTAAGGGGCGAGAAGTCGGACTGGCGAACAGTAACAAGTGGAGTACCACAAGGATCGGTGCTGGGACCAATTCTATTTCTTGTATATGTTAACGACATGTTTACAGGAGTAGAGTCCTACATGTCGATGTTTGCGGATGACGCAAAGTTGATGAGAAGCGTTGTGACAGATGAGGATTGCAGGATCCTCCAAGAGGACCTTAACAGGTTGCAGAGATGGTCAGAGAAATTGCTACTGGAATTCAACACGAGCAAATGTAAAGTTATGGAAATGGGACTAGGAGATAGGAGACCAAAGGGACAGTACACAATGAAGGGGAACAGCCTACCTGTGACGACGCGAGAAAGAGACCTGGGTGTGGACGTAACACCTAATCTATATCCTGAGACACATATAAATAGGATAACAACAGCAGCGTACTCAACACTGGCAAAAGTTAGAACATCATTCAGAAACCTAAGTAAGGAGGCATTTAGGGCGCTTTACACGGCCTACGTGAGGCCAGTTTCAGAGTATGCCACCTCATCATGGAGTCCCCATCTGAAGAAGCAAATAAAGAAACTGGAAAAGGTTCAGAGGTTTGCAACGAGACTTGTCCCAGAGCTACGAGGGATTGGGTATGAGGAGCGCCTGAAGGAACTGTGCCTTACGACACTAGAAAAAAGAAGGGAGAGAGAATATATGATAGGAACGTATAAAATACTTAAGGGGATTGACAGAGTGGACATAGACGAAATGTTCACACGTAATAGTAACAGAACGAGGGGACATGGGTGGAAGCTGGAAACTCAGATGAGTCACAGAGATGTTAGGCAGTTTTCTTTTAGCGTGAGAGTAGTGGGAAAATGGAATGCACTTAAGGAACAGGTTGTGGAAGCAAATACTAATCATAATTTTAAAACTTTTTATTATAGGGAAATAGGACCATAGTCATTGGTGTAAACAACCGATGCTCGAAAGGCGGGATCCAAGAGTCAATGTTCGATCCTGCAAACACAAATAGGTGTGAACACACACACTCACCACACGCTCCCTCTCTCCCGCAGTAAAATACATCAAAAATACCTCAGTATAATGCCATAATGTATACACAATACATCATTCACGGAAGGATGTATTACATAAGCCCAGAGGTAGAGCAGCAGGTGTGGGTGAGAGAGATGGAAGGGGGAGATGAAGGGAAATGGGAAGGGGAGAATGGATGAGAGATGGAGAGGGATATGGTGACTGGGAGGGGCAGGGAGGGGATGGAAGGGCAGGGAGGGGACGGAAGGGGAGGGAGGGGAGGGCCGCCCATAATGACGTCCCCAAATGGCGTGTCATAACTCTTACTGGGTTGTCCTCCTCCCCCGTGCTAATGTGGCCCTTCCCCGGTACTGCTTCCCCGGTACTGCTTCCCCGGTACTGCTTCCCCGGTACTGCTTCCCTGGTACTGCTTCCCTGGTACTGCTTCCCTGGTACTGCTTCCCCGGTACTGCTTCCCTGGTACTGCTTCCCTGGTACTGCTTCCCCGGTACTGCTTCCCCGGTACTGCTTCCCTGGTACTGCTTCCCTGGTACTGCTTCCCTGGTACTGCTTCCCCGGTACTGCTTCCCCGGTACTGCTTCCCCGGTACTGCTTCCCCGGTACTGCTTCCCTGGTACTGCTTCCCTGGTACTGCTTTCCCTGGTACTGCTTTCCCGGAACTGCTTCCCTGGTACTGCTTTCCCGGAACTGCTTCCCCGGTACTGCTTCCCTGGTACTGCTTCCCCGGTACTGCTTCCCCGGTACTGCTTCCCCGGTACTGCTTCCCCGGTACTGCTTCCCCGGTACTGCTTCCCCGGTACTGCTTCCCCGGTACTGCTTCCCCGGTACTGCTTCCCCGGTACTGCTTCCCTGGTACTGCTTCCCCGGTACTGCTTCCCTGGTACTGGCCTGTAGTTCAGTGCCTCTTGCCTGTCGCCCTTTTTGTATATTGGGACCACATTCGCCGTCTTCCATATTTCTGGTAGGTCTCCCGTCTTCAGTGACTTACTATACACTATGG